AAATCTACTTAAGACTCCTCTCTCCATATTTATTACTTACACCCCATAGCCCTTTAATTCTCTAACACACAAAATGCTCTTAGGCCTTTTTCTTATTCACAAGTGTTAATTCCTGTTTTGTTCTTTATCTAGGCTTCCATATGTCATTTTAGTATCTCTCCATTTTCATTGTCCTTCACAGCAGCCTGTGAACCCCCCAGACAACACGATCATGCCCCTTTAACTTGTATGGTTACCTAGTGCTGAGCCATATGCACACTGTACTGCATAATAGCCTTTTAATGACAAATTAGATTTTTATTTCGGTTCATTATGCCTGGGTTTTCAGGCAATGTTCCGGATTTCATGGTTTTGTTTGTAATGAGTCACAGCCCCCTTGACAAACAAGGAGTAATTAAACTAACCAGGTTATCAATAGAAGCTTGTGATGGATCTCCTGTTGCATATGTTATTTCATCTTCAATAATAGTTGGATATCATAAAAGATTATGGCTTCTTGGTGTGACAGACAGAAACAGATGAAAGCCTGTGAGAACAAGAGTAAAAATACAATCTTACTTATACTTCTCACAAGCAAAAGAGTATCATAGTAATTGACAATAAGTGGGTTTTCATTTATAAATATCTTCTGTAATTTTGTTGCCTTATAAGGGGGGGATGTGAATCTTTGCTTAACAAAGAAAGTTAAAATTTATCAAATGGTTCCTTATATTGAGTTAGAGAATATGCATGTGTTTGTGTATTTATAAATGTGTGTATGTGTATTATCTCATAACATTTTCTTATTCAAACTTCTCTGGTAATCAATTTTTATTATTTTTCACCAAGTTATTAGCAAGCACTTTTATAAAAATATTTATTGGCAAGTTTTATTCCAGTTGAACCTTTACTATTAAGAATAAAAATCTCAGAGAAATAAAGGTGCTATAATTTCAAAGTGAAGTATCACCCTTAACAGAAAATGATTACTCTGCTCAGGTATTTTTAAAATGAAAGGCAATATTCTGTTATAAGAGTGTTTACAGTTTTCACTTTCACTGCATATTGAAAAATCATTAAACTCTGTACTTTTTTATTGCTTTCTAAAGAAACTTAAAATAAATCCAAAGTGCACACTTACTCAGATCTTTTGTCTGAATGAGTTAGTATTTGCACCTTCTAGGTTCTGTTGTATTGAACTGTTTCCCATAGTGTTATTTGAAATATGTACTATGTTAAATGTAAATTGGTAGGAAAGAAAATATTTATGGAAAATGACATGCACATAAAACTAGAAGATAGCATAGGAGAAAATCTAGATGACCTTGGGATTGGTGATAACTTTTTAGATACAATACCAAAGGCACAATTCATGGAAGAAATAGTTGATAAGTTGGACCTCGTTAAAATGAGAAGTTTTGACTCTGAAACACAATATCAAGAAAATAAAAAGACAAGCCACAGACTGAGAGAAAATATTTGCAAAATACACATCTGATAAAGGACTGTTATCTAAAATATACAAAGAACCCTTAAAACACAATAAAAATAATACAAACAACCCAATTAAAAATGGACCAAAGACCTCACCAAAGACATACAGATGGTAAATAAGCATATGAAAAGACACTTCACATAATATCATCAGTGAAATGCAAATTAAAACAATGAGATACCACTACATATCTATTAGAATGACCAAAATCTGGAACACTGACAACTCCAAATGCTAGCGAGGACATGGAGCAACAGGAACTCCCATACGTTGCTGGTGGGAAGATAGTTTGTCAGTTTCTTACAAAACTAAACATACTCTTACCATACAATCCAGCAACTGCACTTCTTGGTATTTACCCAAAAGAGTTGAAAACTTAGTTCCACGCAAAAAATAGATGTTTAGAGTGGCTTTACATATGATTGCCAATGCTTGGAAGCAACCAAGAAGTTCTTCAGCAGGTGGATGGATAAACTGTGGTACATACAGACAATGGAATATTACTCAGGGCTAAAAAGAAATGAGTTATCAAGCCATGGAAAGACGTAGAAGAACCTTAAATGCATATTACTAAGTGAAGAAGCCAAGCTGAAAAGGCTACATGCTATATGACCCCAACTATTTAACATTCTGGAAAAAACAAAACTATGGAGAAAATTAAAAAATCAGTGGTTGATGAGGGTGGTGAGGTAGTAAAAAATGAATAGGCAGATATAGGAAAATTTAGGAATGGGAGGATTTTAAGGGCAGTGAAAATACTTTGTATGGTATCGTGATGATGGATATGTGTCATTATGCTTTTGTCCAAACCCATAGAATGTACAGCAGCAAGAGTGAACCCTAATGTAAACTATGACTTTAAGTCATAATAATGTGTCAGTGCAGATTCACCACTTGTAACAAATGTACCACTCTGGTAGGAGATATTGACAATGGAGAGGCTGTCCATGTGTTAGGGCAAGGAGTATATGGGAAATCTTTGCATCTTCCACTCAATTTTGTGTGAACTTAAAACTGCCCTAAAAATAGTCTATTAAAAAAAAATGACACATGCATACAACCCCTAATGTTTCCCTCCAAAACTCATCTACCTCCAGTCTAACCCATCTCAATCAATTGGTATTTCTTTCTATTTAAGTCAAGTGAAATCACCCTCTTTTTTTAAAAAAAAGTCTGTCCAGAAATCATGTTGGCTCCAACTTCACAATAGACCCCAAAGCTAGTGACTTTCCACTGCCTCAGTTGCTACCACCCAGGTATGAGCACCCAACATCACTTGTCTTCTTACTGCAACAGCTTTCATCCTGGCCTCGCAGTGGTCGCTTCTCAACACGGCAGCCTGAGTGATGTGATAATTTTAAAACGAAAGTCAGATTATATCCCTCCTCTGCAGTGGTTCACCATTTCACTCAGAGTAGAAGCCAAGTCCTTAAAATGGCCCTCAAGGTCCTATCTGATCTTTCCTCCTTTGGCTCCATATATTATTCAGGGTTCTGCAGACAAACAAAACCCATAATATATGTGTGTATCTATATACACACACATACCTATACACACATATACATACATACATATGTGATATATATATGACGTACATATAGAGAGAGAGACAAAGACAGAGAGAGATTATATTATGAGGAAATGGTTCACTTCTTAGCTGGCTGAGAAGTCCCACAAACTACTGTCTACAAGCTAGAGACCCAAGAAAGTCAGTGGTGTAGTTCGGTCCAAGTCCAAAGGCCTGAGAACCAGGGGAGCCAGTTGTGTAAATGACAGTTTGAGAGCAGAAGACTGATACCTTAGCTCAAGCAGTCAGGTAGAGAAGGGACAGTCTCCTTTCCTCTGCCTTTTCTATTCAGGCTTTCAATTGACTGTATGATGTGCACCCAACATGAGAAGGGCAATATGCTGCTGAATTCACTGATTCAAATTCTAATCACATTAGAAATACCCTCACAGTCACACCCAGAAATAATGTTTAGCAAATATCTGGATGCTCTGTGACCCAATCAAGTTGATGCAAAATGAACCATCACACTCCGTCTCCTGCTACTGCCCCTTATTTCTCTTTGCTTCAGTCACACTGATCTCCTTGCTATTTCTCAACTGAACCAGGCTTGCTTCAGCCTCAGGGCCTTACTGCAAGCTGTTCCCTCTACCAGTAAGGCTCTTTCTCCAGATACTCACATAGCAAACTCGCTCATCTACATCATCTTTGCTTAAATCTTTCCTTGTCAATGAGTCCTACTCAGATTAGTTTTTATAAAATTGCAACCCATTCCTTGCTCTAATTCCTCATACCTTGCTCTAATGCTTTTGTTTTTACAATATTTCTTTTAACATTTTATTTAAATTACTTATTTATTTTATTTACTGCTGATACTCTGTCTCCCCATCCACCCCCACCCCCCCCCCCCAGCCCCCACCCCACCCCCGCCTAGAATGTAAGTTTTATCATGTCAGGGAGTTTAACTGCTTGTGCCTTGAGAAAGGCCTGGTATGTAAAACTGCTTGTGTCTTGAGAAAGTCCTGGTGTGTATCAATGGCTCAATAACTATTTGATGAATAAAAGAAATGGCTATGCTGTATATAATCTATACATTATATATATATATATATTATATATAATGAAGCTTTTTAAGCATCATTTTGTGCCAGGCACTATGCTTTGACCTCTGAATATGCAGAGATGAATCAGATATTTACCCTGCCTTTAGGCAGCGACAAAGACACCTGGCATACCCATAAATAATTACAATACAAGATAGAAAACGTGTCGTATGAGAGATTTAGATAAACTACTCAAAGGGGAAAGGTATTTCCAACCAGAGCAACAGGGAAGAGTGTAGAAATTGTGACCCCTAAATTTGGGCCTTGGATCTATAGAAATGGTGAAGAATAGCATTCTAGGTAGAAGGAACCACATTTTCAAAAATCACTAATGTGCTAAAGCATAGGGAGTAGGGAAAAACACAGAATATGGAAAGAACTCAGACTTTGAGTCAACACGTCTGACGTCAAATCCAAACTCTGAAGCTAAGTAGCTGTGTGACCTTAGACAAATTATTTAACCTCTCTGAGTTTCAGTTCTCACATCTGTAAAATTGGGATAATGCCATCTCGCCTAGAGTATTCTGTGAGGAAATCATGAACATAAAGCACCAAACCCCCTGACTTGCTCCCAGCCATCACTCAGTGAATAAGAGCTATTATTGGAGTGTAGTTTGACTGGAGTAGAGATGAAATGTTCCTCTCAACAATGCCATTTTCCAATAGGAAGTAAGGCCAAAATGTATTGCATTTACTCTGCACTCCCTGGGAACATTCATCTATTGTCCAACTTGAAAAATGAAGCTGAAAATGACTAGTTTCGTAAGAGAAGCATAAAACACTGAAAATGTGATGCATTGGTCTATCAGACATAAGATTACTTTGAATATAGAAGGAATAAAAATATGTGTGCTCTATATTTCGGTTGAAGATTATTTTAATTTACCCGCAGTTTCTTTCTTTGTTTCTTTTTCAGTTGCTCCTACGATTCAGGAAATTAAATCAGGCACTGTGGCCCCAGGACGCAGCGGATTGATAAGATGTGAAGGTGCAGGTGTGCCGCCTCCGGCCTTTGAATGGTACAAAGGAGAGAAGAAGTAAGGACCTTGTGATTATTACTCTGTTTCAAGCACTTTGAGCTAATGTGTTTGTGTTTCAGATATTTACTTTAAGCAGTTTCTTTAACTGGCTTGAATGATTCTCAGCAGCCTTTTCTCGGGCAGGCAAACTGAAGAGGCCCACATGGGGGGGATGAGTAGCTAACAGCATCCAGAAGAAATGTCCACTTTGGTTTATATGATCTCAGAAATGCCTTCAAATCCCCCATCACTGATGCATTTCATTTCTTTCCCTCCCTTCTGAGCCAGCACACCATTGCTCTTGCCGGCAACCATGTTTACTTGAGAAATAAACCAGCTCTTAAAGGACTTGGGCACAGTTTCCATGAGAGCACTCCAAAAGCAATCGTAGCTGCGGACTCTGCCTGGCTTCCTTGAAAATCCTCAACCCTTTCACCTGCTTCCCTCTCCCACAAGTCATTTTAACATTTTGTTTCATAGAATGTGGCATTTAAGTATTCTGTCACTAAAGGGACTGTAGAGGGATAAAATACATGGTTGAATGACTAACCAAGGAGATTTGAGGACTACTCTAACTTCAGAGGAGCTTGGGGAACTTCAGAAAGCCTTAGCAAGAGCTGTTGAACAAGAGAAGACAGGACTTGATGACTTCCTCTTTACTTTCAACCAGTGGGCTCAGTCAGATCTCTTTACCTGCTCTTATCAAGCCATCAAATAAGAATAGGCCCCCCCTGGGTAAAATGGCAGATGTAATGCAGAGGGGAAAGTATTATCTATAATATATATTATTTTGCTTCAAAACTAGGGAAGGGATGTATTCAAGAAAATGTTAGGTTGGACCATATGAACTTTCCTTTTTTCAGTCAAAAAGGCTAAATGTTGGCAATCTCATACTATTCAACATATACGTATGGGGTTTATTTATTAGTGTCATGGCTCAGAGCTAATTACGGCTAAATGTCTGAACAGAAAACAGGTGAAATCACATAAGAACTTAGATGTTGCCAAAATGGATGAGCATGGATGTGACATAAGCAGGTATTTTGTTTCTTAAACTGTAATCAAAAAAGGATTTATGGAAGATATTCTCTTTCAACATCAGTCTTAACAATAAAAGATATCCCCATAGCTATCTCATTTGTTTTGGATAACTGACAGTGGTTTTACCTAAAAATTTTCATAGTTGTTTTTTATGCAACCTCTTTTACAATTTGGGCTGCTCAATTACTACTTCTTTTTACTAATTAATTAATGCTTTTACTAATTCTAAATCTTTGTGTCTTCCTGGAAGCCCCTATATTTTTATATACCTAGAATTAGATAAACTGGTCTGTGGTCACCCTTGTCCCATGTTATAGGATTACATATCTGGCAATATAACCTTCCTCAGATTCTGATAATCCAGGCTGGGAAGTCTTCACTTTGTGAAGATCTTTAGAGATAAACATCTGGTAGAGTGGTTCTCAGTCCTTTGAAAATTATGAAACCCTTTGTTCAAATGCAATCTTTTTTGGAAGCCCAATACGAAACATCTGTGAAAGTAAGGGTGAATGGAGCCTCAGTTCCATCTGCTCTGAGCCTTCCCTTCCATTAGGATGTCCTTGCAGCCCCTCCTCCCCATCTCTGGTTCTCCGCAAAGCACAGTTTTAAAAATTGACTTAAATTATTTTACATATCTTTCAAAGTCACTTTTGAAACTGTGTCGTACCTTTCTTAAAGGCTAACAAGCAGAATTATTGTTAGCAGCACAAGTGAGAACTCCTTTGCTAAAGTCCATTTTGTTTCTAATAATTGTTTTTGCTATACCTCTCTCTTCCCCTTTCCTAAATTCAGTGACCATTGTCAAAACAGGCTGCAACAATCCTCAGCCCACTTTCTTGGCCTATAGCAAAGGTAGCAAAGAGCCAATTGGTGTCCACAGTCATAGCTTCAGTGATTTTTGTTTTTCCAAGTGGAGAGATGGACTATAGCTTTTATTAGATTTTCAAAGGAGTTTAGAACCACTGCTAAAAAAGGTAGATAGATTTCCCCCAATCAGTGCCCCTCCCCAATACACTCACACATGAGAAAATCTAACCGCTATGAAAATCAAATGCACTTATCAAAGGCAAACATATTTTCACTTCAGAATGAAGTATACATTTATCATTTGTTAGGGTTATATTTGAGGAAATATTCAAATTCTCAAATACCACTAGAATATATAAATTCCTCTTAAAATTATAGAAAAGCAAGTTTGAGTATATGCAGGGAGTAAGAGAGAGAAAAATTCTGCTTGCTGAATGATTGTTGTTACACTCACTAAGAGCATCTACCGTGCTATCTAAAGGGCCCAGGCCATTTAAAATATTTATTTCATCAAAATGAAAAACTATGTGTGGTTGGGAGTCTGCCTGCCAATGCAGGGGACACGGGTTCGTGCCCTGGTCCGGGAAGATCCCACATGCCGCGGAGCGGCTAGGCCCGTGAGCCATGGCTGCTGAGTCTGCGTGTCCGGAGCCTGTGCTCCGCAACGGGAGAGGCCACAACAGTGAGAGGCCCGTGTATCGCAAAAAAAAAAAAAAAGTAAAACTATGTAATGAGCACCTGCTATTTAACATTAACCCATTTTATTTTCACAACAAACATATAAGACAGATACTACTCACCTTTTGCTGAAGAGAAACCAAAGCACAGTGTTTTTAAATAATTTTCACAAGTCTATAGTTAGTGACAGAGCTGGGATTTGAGCCCAGGAAGTCTTGCAAATATGAAGCTTTTTAAGCATCATTTTGTGCCAGGCACTATGCTTTGACCTCTGAATATGCAGAGATGAATCAGATATTTACCCTGCCTTTAGGCAGCGACAAAGACACCTGGCATACCCATAAATAATTACAATACAAGATAGAAAACGTGTCGTATGAGAGATTTAGATAAACTACTCAAAGGGGAAAGGTATTTCCAACCAGAGCAACAGGGAAGAGTGTAGAAATTGTGACCCCTAAATTTGGGCCTTGGATCTATAGAAATGGTGAAGAATAGCATTCTAGGTAGAAGGAACCACATTTTCAAAAATCACTAATGTGCTAAAGCATAGGGAGTAGGGAAAAACACAGAATATGGAAAGAACTCAGACTTTGAGTCAACACGTCTGACGTCAAATCCAAACTCTGAAGCTAAGTAGCTGTGTGACCTTAGACAAATTATTTAACCTCTCTGAGTTTCAGTTCTCACATCTGTAAAATTGGGATAATGCCATCTCGCCTAGAGTATTCTGTGAGGAAATCATGAACATAAAGCACCAAACCCCCTGACTTGCTCCCAGCCATCACTCAGTGAATAAGAGCTATTATTGGAGTGTAGTTTGACTGGAGTAGAGATGAAATGTTCCTCTCAACAATGCCATTTTCCAATAGGAAGTAAGGCCAAAATGTATTGCATTTACTCTGCACTCCCTGGGAACATTCATCTATTGTCCAACTTGAAAAATGAAGCTGAAAATGACTAGTTTCGTAAGAGAAGCATAAAACACTGAAAATGTGATGCATTGGTCTATCAGACATAAGATTACTTTGAATATAGAAGGAATAAAAATATGTGTGCTCTATATTTCGGTTGAAGATTATTTTAATTTACCCGCAGTTTCTTTCTTTGTTTCTTTTTCAGTTGCTCCTACGATTCAGGAAATTAAATCAGGCACTGTGGCCCCAGGACGCAGCGGATTGATAAGATGTGAAGGTGCAGGTGTGCCGCCTCCGGCCTTTGAATGGTACAAAGGAGAGAAGAAGTAAGGACCTTGTGATTATTACTCTGTTTCAAGCACTTTGAGCTAATGTGTTTGTGTTTCAGATATTTACTTTAAGCAGTTTCTTTAACTGGCTTGAATGATTCTCAGCAGCCTTTTCTCGGGCAGGCAAACTGAAGAGGCCCACATGGGGGGGATGAGTAGCTAACAGCATCCAGAAGAAATGTCCACTTTGGTTTATATGATCTCAGAAATGCCTTCAAATCCCCCATCACTGATGCATTTCATTTCTTTCCCTCCCTTCTGAGCCAGCACACCATTGCTCTTGCCGGCAACCATGTTTACTTGAGAAATAAACCAGCTCTTAAAGGACTTGGGCACAGTTTCCATGAGAGCACTCCAAAAGCAATCGTAGCTGCGGACTCTGCCTGGCTTCCTTGAAAATCCTCAACCCTTTCACCTGCTTCCCTCTCCCACAAGTCATTTTAACATTTTGTTTCATAGAATGTGGCATTTAAGTATTCTGTCACTAAAGGGACTGTAGAGGGATAAAATACATGGTTGAATGACTAACCAAGGAGATTTGAGGACTACTCTAACTTCAGAGGAGCTTGGGGAACTTCAGAAAGCCTTAGCAAGAGCTGTTGAACAAGAGAAGACAGGACTTGATGACTTCCTCTTTACTTTCAACCAGTGGGCTCAGTCAGATCTCTTTACCTGCTCTTATCAAGCCATCAAATAAGAATAGGCCCCCCCTGGGTAAAATGGCAGATGTAATGCAGAGGGGAAAGTATTATCTATAATATATATTATTTTGCTTCAAAACTAGGGAAGGGATGTATTCAAGAAAATGTTAGGTTGGACCATATGAACTTTCCTTTTTTCAGTCAAAAAGGCTAAATGTTGGCAATCTCATACTATTCAACATATACGTATGGGGTTTATTTATTAGTGTCATGGCTCAGAGCTAATTACGGCTAAATGTCTGAACAGAAAACAGGTGAAATCACATAAGAACTTAGATGTTGCCAAAATGGATGAGCATGGATGTGACATAAGCAGGTATTTTGTTTCTTAAACTGTAATCAAAAAAGGATTTATGGAAGATATTCTCTTTCAACATCAGTCTTAACAATAAAAGATATCCCCATAGCTATCTCATTTGTTTTGGATAACTGACAGTGGTTTTACCTAAAAATTTTCATAGTTGTTTTTTATGCAACCTCTTTTACAATTTGGGCTGCTCAATTACTACTTCTTTTTACTAATTAATTAATGCTTTTACTAATTC